TCCATTATTTTCTCTTTTTGACAGCCTGGGCCTGCTTTACACAATCTCTATTTTAAAGCATGGAAAAAAAATAACAGCACTTCCTTATTTGCATGAGCTTCTAGGTCAGTGACAGACACTCTTGAGCTCTGAGGCCTCTGCCTGTCTACTCAAAAGCACCTGCTGACCACAGTGACAAAACCAGCTTTTTGTCCCCTTAATTCCTCTGCTGCTCTCCATAGGCAGCACTATGTACAGCACTGAAAAGCAAGCTGCCCGGTTAACTGGGCTCAAGTACCACCTGAACTTCAACAGCTGCCCAGATGAGCTTTCCTGCAGTCGTGGCATTTCCTTCATGCCAACAGGTTGGCTTGGGTTCGGTTGGGTGCTCACATGTTCTGGAAGGAAGAGTTTGCACCGTAAACCACTTCTTATCAGGAATGATTCAAGAGCAAGAAAGAGCTCAGCTTGAACCAATCACACTCCAAGTGTCCACGGATGGCTCTCTAGAAAAAATGATGATAAAGCTTCATACTTTCAAACTGTTTAAAACTGAATGGAGGCCACTGCCAGGTAAGAGCCAGCTCCTCGTGGTCTTGCCACAGAACACTTTTCAGACTGGAGCTGTGATTTCATGTGAACGCTTACAGTCTGCTAAGATGTGTGTAAGAAATAGAACCACTCACAAGGCCTGCTTGGAATGATCATCAAAGGACAACCTTCATCACGTAGAGCTTGAGCAACAGACGGAAAAGGGGAAAACCAGGAATGCTGAATACATAGCAGAATTAACTACGTGCGTTTTGTTTCCCACCCACTCTGAGAAAATGCCCAAAACTGGACTCTGTAGCCTCCTCCCCAAACTTGACTGCTGGAGCTGCAAGACACATTCATGATGTGAGAATCCAGCCTCTCAATGGGATTTGGGAAAAGACTATTCTTTACTTTTCTAGTGACAAAAAAGAAAAGACCTCTTCACTTTGGATCGGCAGGTAAAGCACCAATGACTGGGCAATCGCTCCTTGCCTCCCCCTTACTTTTCTCCTAAAGAAGAGTAAGAATTTAACACAACTAACACAGCTTTAGTGCAGGGCGGTTTAGAGATGGGAGAAATCACACAGTACATTTGAGTCCAAAATCAGTTCCACGAAAGACAGACTTCTTTGCCTAGCTAAATTACTGAGGAGCTCTACACAACAGGAGCCTTAAGAACTGCTTTGAGACACTCTGCTCCACTGCTGCGGGGTACTTAAGTACTAAAGGATACTTCTCACAGTACCGCAACCACATGGGTAGCTGCAGATACTCTTTAAGGAAACAGTAATCACTGAAAGAGTTAGGGATGGGATGTGCATACAAGACCTTCATCCCTGACCAAATCACTGCCAAAGCGTATGTATGGGACAACTCCTTATACGGTGAGATCAGAATAATTCAAAGCTTTGCTGTAGCTCAGTAAAATCATGCTTATTACACATTGCTTGAAGAAACAAAATGTATTCCATCTCCTCCTGATACACACAGACCTTGTGAGGACTCTTAAAACCAGGTCTGCAGAACTGCTTCAAGTAATTCCACTGATCGGGTTTGTATCTGTAGGAAGCCTGAATATCAATGTAGGTCACAAACCTGCCTGGGCACTGTGAGACCCAAGCTGTAAGAAAAGAAGACACACTGGGGGTAGAGAAAGGTAAGGAAAGTCAGTGCAATCAGAAAGCAAGAAAAAAGGCCACCTGCCAAACTGCCCTGTTCTATGGAATTGCCTTCAGTAACGCTTACTGCAGCATTTGGCAAGGGACACAATGCATTTGCCAGTGCATTTTGAAGGGTATGAATTTTAAAATCAAACAAATGTACGTCTAGTTCTTAAGCACCATGACTAAGAGGCATCTTTCCCTCCTGAGAAGCTATTTCCATGCAGAAGTGCTCTGTTGAGATCAACGAATTCATTTAACTCTCACAATTCAGGATTTAAAACCACTGGGAAACAGAGATAAGCAACGCAAGCCGCTCGGCAGGTATCCCAGGAAGGTGTGCTTACAGCTGCCTGCTCCCAGACCTCTCAGTCTCCTCTCTACTGCCACTGCCTAAACACCAGAAATAAAACCCCAAGAGCTTCTCCTTCGGGTCTTTTCTGTTACTTGGTGCATGTTGAGAACAACTAAGAACCAGGCAGCAATGCTTTAGGACTACTCTTGCTCCAAGGTGGATGAAAGAATTAATGATCCAAACTTGGGTACTTAGAAGCTGTGCCATTAGCGATGCCATCTGTAAGCTGCGCTGATCCTTTACCAAAAAGATTCTCTGAATGATGAAAACAACTGCATTTACTGTGAGGGTGGGGAGGCCCTGGAACAGGTTGCCCAGAGAGGCTGTGGATGCTCCATCCCTGGCAGTGTTTAAGGCCAGGCTGGACGGAGTCTTGGACGACACGGTCTAGCGTGTGGTGTCCCAGCCTGCGGCAGGGGAATTGGAAGTGGGTGATCTTAAGGTCCTTTCCAACCCAAACCATTCTATGATTCTGTGAAAAGAAAATGGCAGACTCCCTACGGGGAAAAATCACGCATGAGAGAGAAACACTGTTGGGTTTGCACATTTGGGATGAGGCTTTGCAATATTAAGGTTTTGTAATACTAAGACTTTGCAATATTGGGGCTGGGGCTAAGTTACTCAGGGAACGAAACATAGGGTTTGAAATACCGTGACTTAAACAGGCACACTCTGTGCTTAAAGACAACGGCATCTGTGGGCAACAGACACGCTCTGTGGTGCAAAAGAACGCTATCTTTGTACAACCTATGAAGCTAAGCCGGTGCAAACTGCTGCTGTAGTTAAGCAGTAAGTTGGGGTACCATGTGCCTGCCAGAGAGTTATGAAATCAAACCCTAAAGGGAGAGAAAGAAAGAAGTAAGAGGAAGGGGTGTACGAAACTGAGTAAGGGGAGGTGTAACCAGAGGCGGGACAGTTAGCACGTAGATTGTACACGTCGGAGAGGCTGTAAACCTTGGAGTCCCCAACCAATGGGGTAACAAGGGAGGGAACTTGAGGATGGGAAAGGAAATACAAATCAAAGTTCTGCCTTTGCTGTGTGTGCCTGCTTGCCAGGACACCCGTTTGTGCACAAACGTTAAATAAATGGCTGCTTCACTGCTGTGTCTGACCGAGGCCTGCCTGAACCTAGAGACTGCTTCTCACCCTTCAACTTCTCAGCGACCAAAACCCACGACCCATTCCCTCAGCAGGAGGCTCACCTGAGACTCCAACTTCTCGCCGCCTTCCTTTTTCTGGGACGCTGCTCTGGGAGGGGCACTTTCTCGCCTGACCTGCTGGAGGCTGCTGCTTCTCTTCTCCCTGCTCTTCACTGGCATCTTCCGCACTGCTTCTCTGGGCTCGTTTCTTCCCCTGTCTCTTCTTTACCCGTCTCTGCCAGGAATTCTCCTTCTCCTTCCTACTCACCACAGGCAAGCAGAGGGGGAAAACAAAGCAGTTGTGTATTTTTTTAACTACAGAAATCCCATGCAAACGTTTCACAGAAGAGACAATCCCCTGCAAAAAAACGTGTTTACAAAAACCAGCACTCACAGCGACTGCAGCCGTTGGCGAGGGCCTGTGCTTGAGCTACGGCAGTAACTAAGAGTCACCTCAGTGCAGGACGCGACTCCGTGACGAAGCACGGAGCCTCCCGGACACCTGCACAGACAACACTTGGCCAGGAGCCTGTCCACAGAGCACCAGGACAACCTGGGAACCAGAGACTTCCCCAGAAACAAGGCCTGGAACATTTTCAGTTCATCCTCAAATAACCTCCTGTGACACCACACTCATTTTCAGCCGCACGCAGGGACCAGGAAGGTCATACATTATTTTGTACTGTAGGGTGCTGTACGCGTAGCCTGTGTACCGGGCCATCCACAGCTATCTCATACATTAAAAGCGCCAGGATTTAAAGGGCATTTGTAGAGCTTTAATGAGAGAAACTCCGTTTAGTTTTTAGATGGCATAAAATTACATGAACAAGCCCTACATCAACTGCTCCCACATCTAAAGCCTTCAGCTCGATGACCAGGGGAAATCAGCAGCAGGGCAAAGAAAGGTTCTGGCCCTTCTCAACACACTGAGACTTGAAATGGAAATGGTACAATGGGCTGCTGAAAACCACACTGAGAGCAACGCTTTGGCTTTATACCGAGAGCAATGCTGACAACACACTGACGTTTCAGTTGTACCTAAACTGGGGGGAGTTGTTTGGAAGGGAAGGATCACTGCTCGGGTCGGGCTGGGTATCACTCAGTGGGTGCTGAGCAATTGCATTGGGCATCACTTGTGTTTATTGGCTTGGTTTTTTTTTTTCCTTTTCCTCTTTTTTTTTTTTCTCTCTTCTTGTTATTTCCCTTATCATCATTATCACTATCACCAGCACTAGTACATTGTGCTTCGGTTATTAAACTGTTCTTATCTCCACCCTCGGGTTTTTCATCCTTCCCTTCCTGCTCCCCATCCCGCTCCAGGAGCCAAAACCCGCCCCAGAGTCACCGACACCTCTGCACACCCCCTCCCCCCCCGGGTGCCGGGGATCGGCTGCCCCAGCAGCACCTCCCCCCCCGGGGGGAAACAGCCCCCAGGGCCCCCCACAACAGCCCCGCTCCATCCCCAGGACCGGAAAGCTGCGGGACCCCCACAGCTCCCAGCCCCCCATGCCCCGGCTTCGCAGCACCCCACACTCCCAGCCATCTCGCAGCCCCACTGCCCAGCGCTCGCACCCGCCCCCCGCATTCCCCCGCAGCGCCCGGCCCCACTGCCCAGAGCCTCGGGGGGCCGCAGACCCCCAGCCCCGCTCCCCGGGCTCTGCAGCGCCCCCCAGACCCGCGCCGCGCCCGCTCACCCTCACCTCCTCCCGCTCGGCCGCCGCCATTGCCGGCTCCAGCTCCGCCTCACGCCCTGGGCCCGCCTCCGACGCAGCCAATCAGCGCACGGCTTCTTCGCGCGGGGCACGCTGGGACCTGTAGTCCGGCCTCCGGCACATGCGCACGGGGCAGTGGGCGGGAAAGGGGGGAGGCAGCGGGACCCCCGTGAGGGGCGGGGCCTTTCCTCATGGAGGAGCCGCCCCTCATGGGATCCCAGAGGCACCGGATGGGCTGGGGTGAAGGGACCTTAAAGCTCCTCCAGCTCCAAGCCCTGCCACGGGCAGGGACACCTTCCACATGGAAGGAGCAGCTTGCTCCGAGCCCCTGTGTCCAACCCGGCCTCCAACGCTGCCAGGGATGGGGCAGCCACAGCTCCTCTGGGCACCCTGCGCCAGCGCCTCAGCACCCTCACAGGGAAGAGCTTCCTGAGAGCTTGTGAAATACGAACTCACTCCTCTAAACGAGGTAACGAGGGTTTAGTGAGGGACAAAGTCAAGAAAGCAAAAGCGACAGCGCTGGGCGCCTGACCGCAGCCAGAGGCGCAAGGGATTAGCATTTGGTACAGGTTTATATACTTTCAGTGTTACATTAGTTACATGCATATTCATAATTCCCGCATATAGGCGGGGGATATTATAACGAGCTTCAAGAATTTATTCTCACAAGTCTCCTCCTCTTGGCGTCTGCGCACTGCTCTGTGGTGATTGTGAGCAGGGGGCCTGAGGATGAAGTAAACAGTCTTCCTCTTGTGAGTAGGGGTCTTCAAGATGAAGTAAGCAGTCTTCCTCACGGTGTATTTTTCACCTCTGGCACAGTTGGACCCCCCAGCAATCACACAACCAGCTATATCTGTAATTATTCTGATAACTAGCAAGGATTTAAAACAGTGTGACCTTCCTGCAAAATTTGTTGCAGGATGGGCAGACAAGGAGTATCCCAAGCTAGCAGAGCCTTGGGAGGCTCTGTCTCCAAACTAACTGATAAGGATGGTGTGAAATAACTCATTCATGTTTAGTGGGGCCACTAAAGCCTGTTATCTCACCACAGACTTACAACACAAACATTGCTCTTTAAAACTACTTTAGAAGACTAGCGTGAAACAATTAACTCATGTTTAAGTGGGGCCACTACATCCCACGGACTTACAACATAAACATTGTTCTCTTTCTACAGCCTAAGTTAAGCTAAACAGTACTTTAACCCTATGTTTTCCAGGCACTAGCTTTCCTTATACCAAGCTTCACCCCCCACCTTCTCTTACCTTTACAAATTCTTTTGCTATGTGACTCCATTTAGATCAAGAGATCTGAACCTTTTTAACTTGGTGTCTGGTCTGGTATCTTTAGCGTGTTTTGTTTCTGTTATTGTAAACTCGTACAGTTATATCCTGCACATGAGCACACCTATGATTTGAGAAAGCCAATACATTTATGTGTTCATCACAATCTCACCTCAATCCACCTCTGTGGAAAGGAAAAAGGGGATAAAATAGGCAGTAAATCGCAGCCTCCTTGTGACTTCCCAAAGCCTCCGGTTTCAGTTCTAAAGCCTCGTTCGCAGGGTCCCAAGGCTCAGGTTCAGTTTCCAAAGGCTCGGCCGCGGGGATGCTGCTGCCGGGCGGGGGGCGCACGAGCCCGGCCGCGGGGCTGGGCAGGGCCCGCTCCGCCGTTCCCCGGGCTCCCGCGGCCGCGAGACCCCCCCCGCCGGCCGCTCCGCCCGGTGGCAGCGGGCGCCCGGGCCGCGCGTGGACAGAGCCGTTGACAGCGAGGCTGCGGCGGCGGCGGCAGCAGCGGCTTCTGAGCGGCTTTTGAGCGGCAGCGACTTCGGCAGCGGCTTCGGTAGGAGCAGCAGCAGGGGCAGCAGCACCAGGTGAGGCGGCGGCGGCAGCTCTCGGCGGTCCGGAGCCCGCCCTCCGCCGCTCCCCGCGATGGTGCCTCCCCCGTCCCCCCAGCGTCCCCCCGCAGGGGCTCGCGGCACCGCTCCCCTCTCCCGGTACTGGCAGTGGCGGCGCTGGGCGAGCCGCCGCCGCTGGGTCTGGGTCTGGCGAGGCAGCGCCGGCCCCTGGCGCTCCCCGGCCCGCCCCCAGGCCCCGCCCCGCCTGGGGCCGGCCGGGGGCCGCCACCATCCACAGGTGCCCGACCGGCGGCGGAGCGCGGACCGGCGGCGGAGCGCCCGCTCCCTCCCCGCCCCGCAGCCTCCCGGCAGCCGCGACCCCCGAGACCCCGGAGCGCGGTGCTGCTGCGGGGGTGCCGTCACCGGCAGCGCGGTCGGGCAAGGTGCCCGTGCTCCTCCTGACCCGCATTGACCCGTCGGCCTATCTGCGCTCCGGGACCGGCGGGGAGCGGCGCGCCGCGGAGCCTCGGCCGGGAAAGGCCGGGAATGATGCGGCTCCGCTCGGCCCGGAGCGCCCGGTGGGGGCCGGCGGGGACCCCGCGCGCAGCGACAGCGGCCGCGTCTGTCGCACGGGGCACGACAAGGAGAGCTTCGAGCGGCTTTACCGCGTGGGACCGCTGCTGGGGAGAGGCGGCTTCGCGTCCGTGTACTCGGGGCTCCGCCTGTGTGACAACAGCCCGGTAAGGGCGGGCCCGGCGGCGGGCCGGGGAGGCGTCGGGGCTCAGCTCAGCTCAGCTCAGCTCAGCTCAGCTCAGCTCAGCTCAGCCCAGCGCTGCCCTTGGCTCGCAGGTGGCGATCAAACAAGTGGCTCGGGAGCGCATCTCCTCGTGGGGCGAGCGGGTGAGTGCGCGGGGCCACCGGGACAGTGCGGGGCAGAGCGGGTGGGGGTGAGCCGGTGGGGCCGGCGGGGGGGAAAGTGGGACAGGGAGAGGGGAGTGGGTGTGGAATCACCAGGGGACACGGGCCGGATAGGGGTGCACCAGAGCATCCCTGGGGATTGCGGGGGGCACCTGCAGGAGGGCATCAGAGCATCCCAGGCAGGGAGGCACAGGAGTCCCGGGCCAGCATCGGCCCTGCTGACAGTGCCGTGGTCCCCCTGCAGCCCAGCGGCACTCGCATTCCCTTGGAGATAGCCATGTTGAGGAAGGTGCGCTCCGGCTGCAGTGCCATCATCCAGCTCCTCCATTGGTTTGAGCTGCCCCACTCCTTTGTGCTGGTTCTGGAGCGTCCGGAGCCATCGCAGGACCTCTCCGACTTCATCAAAAAATGGAGGTTCCTGCCCGAGGATCTGGCGCGGGGCATTTTCCTCCAGGTGCTGGTGGCTGTGCGGCACTGCCACAGCCGCGGTGTCCTGCACAGGGATATCAAGCCCCAGAACATCATCATCAACTTGGCCACCAGAGAGGTCAAGCTAATTGACTTTGGTTGCAGCACCCTCCTCAGGGACACGGTCTACACCAAATTTAGCGGTGAGCCCACAGCCCAGGGTGCTTCCCGTACCGGGCAGTTTGTGAACAAGAGTCACGTGCTGATGAGGAGGTGGCGGGTCACACCGAGTGTGCGTCCCCACGTCCGTGGCGCCACCGGTGCAGCCCCTGCATCCCTGGGGATCCGCGGGCGAGAATCCAGGAGCAGGCGGCATCTGCCTAATGAGGTGCGCCCGTATCCTGTTGTAGGAACACCTTTGTACTACCCGCCGGAGTGGTTCCGCTGGCACTGCTACCACGGCCGTCCGGCTGCGATCTGGTCCCTGGGCGTGCTGCTGTATGAGATGGTGTGCGGGGTCCTCCCCTTCCGGTGCTGCGAGGACATCGTCAGCGGGCAGTTCTTCTTCCAGCGCCGGATCTCTGTCGGTAGGTACCTGGCTTCGCAGCCGCAGGGGAAGGTCGGGGTTTAGGGGGTGGCAGCTGATCTCCCTTGGTCAGCTGGAGGAGGTGGCCCATGTCCTGCCATCCTGCTCTCCTCCAAACCGAGTCATGGAGCAGGAGGTCTGGGTGCAGCTCTGAGCGCACCCAGGCCTGGGCGCTGCGGACGGTGGCACAAGGTAGGCAGGAGCCTCCTGCAACTGAGCGGCAGTTCCCGGATTCTCCCCAGAATGCCAGCACCTCATCAGGTGGTGCTTGTCCATGAGAGCTCGCGACAGGCCATCCCTGGACGATGTGTTCAACCACCCTTGGCTGCAAACATCCACTGCCCCAGGAGACAGCCGCCCTGCACCCTCACAGCCTGAGCCAGCAGCTGGGCAAGTAAGCTGGGGGTGCCTCTTGGGGGGAGTGTGGGGTTTGGGGGTTTTGGCAGGTTGGGTTTTGCGGAGAGCGGGTGGTTTTGGGGGTTTGGGGGATTTGGGAGTTTGGTGAGGTTGGGTGTTTTGGGGGGACTTTTGCAGTTATTGGGGGGCTTGTGGGGATTGGTTTCTGGGTTCTTTGGAGAGCAATAGGTGTCAGAGGGACACCTCATAAGAGTTATATCTCCTCCTTGTAGCTGGGGCAGTGGTGAGGTTGGGCTTTAGTCTGAGGATAACGCTGGTAACACACCGATTGTATAGTGGTTTCTGATTAGCACTTACCCCGAGCAAGGCTGATTCAGTCTCTCATGCTCTGCAGTGAGGAGAGACAAGATCTGACAGCAAAGCAACAGACAAAGCGGCTACTCCAACACCCGCCACGAGCACTGCAGCTACTCCAGCACCAGCCACAACCACTACGGTGACACCAACAATGGACACAGGCACCGTGGCTACTCCAATGGCAAGGACTGTCACTACAGCTACAACTCCAGCAACATGCACTGCTGCTATTCCAACCAGGGCAAAAAAAGCAGTGTGGCTACTCCAGACTCAGTGACAAGCAGTGAGGCTTCTCAAACCCAAGCCACAAGCACTGCAGGTACTACAAATACAGCGACAGACACATCGGCCACTCAAATGCCGAGGACAGGCACTGTGGCTGGTGCAACCCAATTCAACATGCCCTGCAGTTAATCCAGCCCCAGGCACAAGGACTGCAGTTACTCCACCACCAGTTTTAAGCTCTGCAGCTCCTCTATCTCTGGGAAGGAGCAATGGCGCTACTCTAAGGCCTGCTATGTATACAGTGGCTACGTCAACCCCAGCCACAAACACTGCAGCTACTCCAGTGCAAGCCACAACCACTGCAGCCTCTCCAACACCAGTGACACACACTGCTGCTCCTGCAGCCCCATCAACAAGCAGTGAGGCTTCTCCAACCCAAGCCCTAAGAACTGTGCCTACTGCAACCATGGCAGCAGGTCCGTGGGCTACTCCAATGCCATAGACAGATGCTGTGGCTGCTACAACTCCAGTGATGGGCACTGCAGGTATTCCAACCACATCAACAACCAGTGAGGCTTCTCCAGTGTGAGCCACAAGCACTGCGGCTTCTCACTGCCATCCACAAGCCCTGCGGCTACTGCAACCCCAGTGACTGGGACAGTGGCTACTACATGGCAACAATAGGGATGAACACTGCAGCTATTCCAGCCACTGCAACAAGCACAGCAGCTGCTGCAGTGCCAGCCACAGCAATGGGGCTACTCTAATGCCTGACACAGACACTTCCGCTACTGCAACCTCATTGACGAGCAGTGAGGCTTCTCCAAACCATGCACTGCGGGTACTCAAAGTACCGTGACAGACACATCAGCCACTCGAATGCAAAGGACAGGACCTTTGGCTACTCCAGCCTTGTCAAGAAGCACTTTGGACAACCCAACCCCAGGCACAAGCACTGCAGCTGCTCCACCACCAGTTTCCAGCTATGCAGCTATTCCAACTCTAGGAGGGAGCACTGCCGCTACTCTTAAGGCCTGCAACGTTTGCAGTGGCTAGATCAACCCCAGGCACAAACACTGTGGCTTCTCCAGCGCCACTGACAAACACTGCTGCTCCTCCAATGCCATCGACAAGCAGTGAGGCTTCTCCAGTGCAAGCACAAGCACTGCAGCTTCTCATTGCCAGCCAGAAGCCCTGCGGCTGCTGCAACCCCAGTGAGTGGGACAGTGGCTACTACATGGCAACCATAGACATAAACACTGCAGCTATTCCAGCCACTGCAACAAGCGCAGCAGCTGCTGCAGTGCCAGCCACAGCAACGGGGCTACTCCAATGCCTGAGACAGACACTGCCGCTACTGCAACCTCATTGACGAGCAGTGAGGATTCTCCAAACCAAGCCACATGCACTGCGGGTACTCAAAGTACCGTAACAGACACATCAGCCACTCGAATGCAAAGGACAAGCACTGTGGCTACTCCAGCCCCATCAAGAAGCACTTTGGACAATCCAACCCCAGGCACAAGCACTGCAGTTGCTCCACCACCAGTTTCCAGCTATGCAGCTATTCCAACTCTAGGAGGGAGCACTGTTGCTACTCTTAAGGCCTGCAATGTTTGCAGTGGCTAGATCAACCCCAGGCACAACCACTGTGGCTACTGCAAATCCTACCAGAAGCACTACAGCTACTCCAGTGCCAGCCACAACCACTGCAGCCTCTCCAACACCTGTGACCCATCAACAAGCAGTGAGGCTTCTCAATCCCAAGCCACAAGCACTGCAGGTACTACAACTACAGCGACAGACACATCAGGCACTCAAACGCCGAGGACAGGCACTGTGGCTGGTGCAACCCAATTAACCATGCCCTGCAGTTAATCCAGCCCCAGGCACAAGGACTGCAGTTACTCCACCACCAGTTTTAAGCTCTGCAGCTACTCTATCTCTGGGAAGGAGCAATGGCGCTACTGTAAGGCCTGCTATGTATACAGTGGCTACGACAACCCCAGCCACAAACACTGCAGCTACTCCAGTGCAAGCCACAACCACTGCAGCCTCTCCAACGCCAGTGACACACACTGCTGCTCCTGGAGCCCCATCAACAAGCAGTGAGGCTTCTCCAGTGCGAGCCACAAGCACTGCGGCTTCTCACTGCCATCCACAAGCCCTGCGGCTACTGCAACCCCAGTGACTGGGACAGCGGCTACTACATGGCAACGATAGGCATAAACACTGCAGCTATTCCAGCCACTGCAACAAGCACAGCAGCTACTGCAGTGCCAGCCAGAACAATGGGTACTCAGTCACTAGTCACTAGCCAGAACAATGGGTACTCAGAGACAGACACTGCCGCTACTGCAACCTCATTGATGAGCAGTGAGGATTCTCCAAACCAAGCCTCATGCTCTGCGGGTACTCAAAGTACTGTGACAGACACATCAGCCACTCGAATGCAAAGGACAGGCACTGTGGCTACTCCAGCCACATCAACAAACACTGTGACTAATCCAACCCCAGGCACAAGCACTGCAGTTGCTCCACCACCAGTTTTAAGCTCTGCAGCTATTCCAACTCTAGGAAGGAGCAATGGGGCTACTCTAAGGCCTGCAACATACGCAGTGCCTAGATCAACCCTACCCAGAAGCACTGTGCCTTCTCCAACGCCACTGACAAACACTGCTGCTCCTCCAACGCCATCGACAAGCAGTGAGGCTTCTCCAACCCAAGCCCTAAGAACTGTGCCTACTGCAACCATGGCAGCAGGCACATGGGTTACTCCAATGCCATAGACAGATGCTGTGGCTGCTACAACTCCAGTGATGGGCACTGCAGGTATTCCAACCACATCAACAAGCAGTGAGGCTTCTCCAGTGCGAGCCACAAGCACTGTGGCTTCTCACTGCCAGGCACAAGACCTGCGTCTTCTCATTGCCAGGCACAAGCCCTGCATCTACTGCAATCCCTGCGACTGGGACTGTGGCTACTACATGGCAACAACAGGCATAAACACTGCAGCTATTCCAGCCACTGCAACAAGCCCAGCAGCTGCTGCAGTGCCAGCCACAGCAACAGGGATACTCCAATGCCTGAGACAGACACTGCTGCTACTGCAACCTCATTGATGAGCAGTGAGGCTTCTCTAAACCAAGCCTCATGCTCTGTGGGTACGCCCCATACCCACAACTCCCCCCAGGTGACCCTCAAGTAACCTCCTACACCCAAAACTGCTCCCAAGTGACCCCTTAGTGACCCCCAGACCAAAAACAGTTCCCCAAGTGTCCCCCAAATGAAATCCCAGACCCACAAGTGCCCTCCAAGTGACCCCAAAGACCCAGAGCTGCCCTCCAGTCATCTCCCAGACCTACAACAGTCCCACAACTGCCCCCCGAGTGACCACTCAGACCCCCAACTGCCCCCAAGTGACCCCCCAGACCCACAACTGCCCCCAAGTGACCCCCCAGACCCACAACTGCCCCCAAGTGACCGCCCAGACACACAACTGCTCCCAAGTGACCCCCCAGACACACACCTGCCCGCCAAGAGAGCTCGCAGACGTACCTCTGCCCCCCAAGTGTTTACCCAGTGACCCCCAGAGCCATAACTGCCCCCAAATGATCCCCTCATCCCTAAAATTGCCCCCCTAGTGGCCTCCCGGACCCACAACTGCCTCCCAACTGACCCCCAGTGATTCCCCAGACCCAAACCTGCCTCCCAAGTGACCCCCAAGTGACTCCCCAGACCCACACCTGCCTCCCAAGTGACCCCCAAATGAATCCCCAGACCCACAACATCCCCACAAGAGATCTCCCTGACCTACAACTGTTTCCCAGCTGACACCCCAGTCAGCCCCAGACCCACAACTGCCCCATGTGCTCCCCAAGTGTTTCCCAACACCCACAACTGCCCCTCACTGCCCCGCTCCCATCCCGTTCCCATCCCATTCCCACCCCACTCCCATCCCGCTCCATCTTGCTCCCATCCTGTTCCCATCCCGCTCCCATCCCGTTCCCATCCCACTCCCATCCCAGCTCCATCCTGTTCCCATCCCTCTCCCATCCCGGCTCTATCCCATTCCCATCCCGTTCCCATCCCGTTCCCATCCCGTTCCCATCCCGGCTCCATCCCGTTCCCATCCCACTCCCATCCAGCTCCCATCCCGCTTCCATGCCGCTCCCATCCCGTTCCCATCCCGCCGCTCCATCCCGCTCCATCCCTTTCCCATCCCGTTCCCATCCTGCTCCCATCCCGTTGCAATCCCGCTCCTACCCCGCTCCCATCCCGCTCCCACCCCGCTCCCATCCCGTTCCCATCCCAACTCCATCCCGCTCCCATCCCGTTCCCGTCCCGCTCCATCCCGTTCCCATCCCGTTCCCGTCCCGCTCCCATCCCGTTCCCATCCCGCTCCATCTCGTTCCCATCCTGTTCCCATCCTGGCTCCATCCCGCTGCCATCCCAGCTCCATCCCGCTCCCATCCGGCTCCATCCCGCTCCATCCCGTTCCCATCCCAGCTCCATCCCGCTCCCATCCCGCTCCCATCCCGTTCCCATCCCGCTCCCATCCCGCTCCTACCCCGCTCCCACCCCCTTCCCACCCCGCTCCCATCCCGCTCCATCCTGTTCCCATCCCGGCCTCATCCCGCTCCCATCCCGCTCCCATCCCGTTCCCATCACGCTCCCATCCCGGCTCCATCCCGCTCCCATCCCGCTCCATCCCATTCCCATCCCGGCCCCATCCCGCTCCCATCCCGTTCCCATCCCGCTCCATCCTGTTCCCATCCCGCTCCCATCCCGTTTCCATCCCACTCCATCCTGTTCCCATCCCTGCCCCATCCCTTTCCCATCCTGCTCCCATCCCGGCTCCATCCTGTTCCCATCCCGCTCCCATCCCATTCCCATCCCACTCCCATCCCGCTCCCATCTCGTTCCCATCCCGCTCCATCTTGTTCCCATCCCGCT